CAGCCAGACAGCCAGGGCTACAGAGAAACCCTGTCTTGAAAACACCATTAAAAAAGTGTTACAAAGAAGGGGCTTGTGTGTGTGTGTGTGTGTGTGTGTGTGTGTGTGTGTGTGTGTGTGTGTGTGTGTGTGTGTGTGTGTGTGTGTGTTAACTCCCAGTGATGTTCCTCAGGAGCCATCTCCCTTAGTTTTGGAGACAGGGCTCCCGATTGGCCTGCAGCTGGCCAAGCAGGCCAGAGGCTGCCCAGTGAGCCGAGGACCCGCTTGTCCCCACCTTCCTAGCATTAGGATTACAAGTGGTCTTTGAAACCAAACTCACTCTTCTCAGCCCTCCTGCACTTTCATAGAAACGTCATATTTACCCATTTCTGGCATCCTCTTTCTGGATGGATTCTGTTCATTTCATAGCTGCAAAGTGTGACCCTTTCTCCTGTGGAAATGAGTTTTCTTCTGTTTGACAGTATCTGTAGACTTTCCCTCTGGACTTTAAAACTCTTAGAAGGGGTGAGGCCTGTGTTGAGTTTCTTTTCCTTGCCTAGATCTAACATGGATTTCAGGAAGTTTTTAAAAACCCTGGTCAAGGAATTTCTGGATCCTTTAGCCTTTGCAAGTCCTGGGGAGAAAAAGAAAGCAAGCTTGGATGGTTGCTGGATCCTGGAGGACTAATGAAGAGCGGGCAGATGGGCACTCACTCGTTTGTTTAGTAGACATTTTGAAAGTGGCTGCTCCATGCTGGGCTCTGTTTTAATATAGGGACATGCAGCACAGTCTTGACCCCATTTTGTTGTCTTTTTTCCTTAAAGCTGGCCTTAGTCATCCTTCCTGCTAGGGCTCATGTTTTCTTTCCTGCCAGCACGATGTAGTTAGTAGCTCTCTTTTTTGCTGCCTCTCTGGACACACATGGACTCTTCTTTCCTGGAGAAGTCATTGGTCTCTGTGTAACCAGGACAAGCTACCAAATTTAATGACTTTGTCAGAGGTTCTGTCCTGGAAGGTCTCTGATGAAATCAAGTCTGTTCCTGAAACCGTTGTGTATGTTCTTCTGGAGCAGTTTGGTGGCCTTTGTAAAAGTGTTTCCCTCTTAGGTGTCGTCCCAGGAGTAACAGTCACTCCTGTGGGGCCTTCCCTGGGTGTTTATTTGCTGTGTGATGTTTGTGGAACGGCCATTTGTCTTAGACGGTTAGCGTAGTTGATAGACTCAGAACCCAGTAAGTGGGTAAGCCTGTGACACACATGCACTGATGAAGATAGACTCACTGTGTCTGAGCAGAAGTACAATGTCCTTCCAGCACTGTACATCAGAGTACTTGTCACTTCCTGATTACTATACCCAGTCATAGTTACAGCTTAATGATTATAAAACAGGAAGAAAAAAATAAAATCATGTTTCCCAATAAAGCCAGAAATCACAATTAATGTTATAATGTGAAATAACTTTAAAAAGAAATTAATGTTACTGTACCAAAGGGACGTTGCCTCTGTTGGAGTCCATGCTGAATGGGTGAATTGCTTCTCACCAGCTTTGCCTCTATCCTTATGCTGACATAAGTCAAGAAAGAGAGCCTGCAGATTAATATGCCAGTACATAAAGGCCTTAAAAGTGACTCTCTCTTGGTCAGAACGCACAAGCATAGAGAAGTGTGCTGTAGAATGTCTCTCCATAGCTTCTGCCCTGTCTCCTAGCCCACCCTTGCCATGGACCAGTTAATATGCAAACACTGACTCTAGACTTCGTTAGCTCACATTAAGGTCAGTATTATGTAACCTGGATCTTAGGGCTCATCTTACAAATATTCAAGTCAGGCAAGGTTCCATTATTAGTTTAGTTTTTGAGACAGTTAATTGGATATTATATGTGCATGGCCAACCCAAAAAGAAGCATCAATTGGAACCTGGCTCCCATAGCTGTCATGTCCAAGTCCAAGTCTCCTGTGGAACCTAAGCAGCTTCGTGAGTCCCAACAGGGGCCTTCCTGAGATAGCCAAACACTCAATTCTTCAAGGGCTGTGGGTTGGTCACCTAAACTGCTGTAAAAGAGGTGTATGCAGACATGCCTGTGAGGCCTCACAAGGAGGAGGATGGAAGAGCAGATCTACAGAAGGTGACCTCAGAAGATGAGGCACCCATTTCACTGTGGAAGGTTTTTTTCAGGAGCATTAAAGAAGATACTGGAGAAACATTATCTTAGTCCGTGTTCTATCGCTGTGAAGAGACACCATGACTATGGCAACTCTTATGGAAGAAAACGTTACATTGGAGGCTTGCTTACAAGTTTCAGAGGTTCAGTCTATTATCCTCATGGCAGGAAGCATGGCAGCATGCAGGCAGGTGCTAGAGCAGTAGCTGAGAGTATATCCTGATCCGAGAGAGAGAGAGAGGAGAGAGAGAGAGAGAGAGAGAGAGAGAGAGAGAGAGAGAGAGAGAGAGAGAGAGACTGGGCCTGGTGTCGGCTTTGAGATTTCAAAGCCCACCCCCAGTGACACACTTCCTCCAACAAGTCCACACCTCCTAATCCTTTAAAAAGAATGCTACTCCCTGATGACGAAGCATTCAAATGTAAGAGCTTGTGGAGGCCGTTCAAACCACCACAAACATGCTCTGACCGATTGTTTGGCACATCCTGGGAACTCTGAAGTGACTGATGTCATGGCTCACTGTGGCAGCATCCAGAAGAGGAGCTTTGCTTATGTAGCCTTTGATGGCCATGACTACATAGGTATGATGGTCCAGAAATACTGTCTGTTGGTCACAGCTGTGATGTAAGGAAAGCCCTGTTGAAGTAAGGCATGGCTCAAAAGGCCTGAGATAGCCCTGAATACTTGGTTGGTGGTCATGGAGGCAAGCTTGGTGGTGGTGACAACTTTGGTTGTGGAGGAAGCATCAATAGTTCCAGAAACTGTGGTGTCAGTTATGATGGAGGATACTGTGGCAGTAGGTCTTATATGATATTAGAGGGACCAGCCTTAATATTATACATCCCAGGGGCTCAGGAGAGAGAACTACGAACAGCGAGGACTATTTTCTGGAAAATCGAGTCTCAGCACACCGAGCTCTATAGTCCATTCGCTTTAATTCATCTGGAATAACATCCTATCTACACAGCTACAGTTCTGTTCTCGTGCCTTGCTCCTTTCTTGCCTTGATTTCTCTCTATATTTATCTACTGCTTCCTCTATGTTCTATCTTACTTCTCTCGTCTTAATTCTGCCTCATTTAGGTCCTTTTCATCTCGTTCTTACCCAGCTAGTACTTCCCCATTTGACTCTTCCTCATCTTCCATCTCGTCCACATGTTCTCTCTTAATCCTCCTTATCCCTCTCTGTTCTCCGTCTCTAAGTTCTCCACGTTTCTCCTAAGTCTCGCAGGAATCCAGTAATAAACCCAAGCAATAGCAGTCTCGAGCAAGGTCACCAGGCTTGAATTCTATGGGGTCATAAAGGCAGGTAAGAATTTTCCTCAGGCAGTGACCACCAGGCTTTCTTTTACAACCCAAAATGGGGGTGGTAAAAGAGGAGGTCACCTGAGTGCTAATGACCGGTTAGTATATAAAAAAGGGGATCTATGTGCTCAGTCTACATTCCTAGAAGTGGTTAGGTAAGAAGTTAGGGGTCTATTAGTAAGGCTGTATAAGAAAGGAGGGTCTCACCCTAAATTGCACAAGAAATAAAGCTATCTGCCTGACCTAGGAGACAGGTGTTGTTTCATTCAGCCTTGTATGCTTGATAGGCATTTTAGAGAAATACACTGTTAGGAGTTCTTTGGAAGCATGCAAGAAAAACATTTTAGGAACCACACACAAAAGCTAAAATATTACCAAGACTTCTTAAGCCATGGCTTGCTTGACCTTTGGAGAAGTCCTTGACTTATCCAAGTAGTAGCTTTTGTGATAGTAGCTGAATGCCATTACATTTTCCTGTGGCTTGCAGCAAGTAGGGATGTCTACAATGGATTTAGTAGTGAAAAGGCAGTTTTACAGGTAGTGGAAACTAGTGATGTGGCATTTATGATGATCAGTCTTCAGGTTTTAGAGCCTTGGAGGGAGGAAAAACCACAATAAAAAAAAGTTCCAGTGGACTCTCTTATAGAAGTAGACAATGATGCTAAAGTTTATCAAAAATATTTTCTCTGTCAGAAACTTGTTTAGGTGTCTTCATTGTATGCTTCATTACCACAAATGTAAGTTTGCTCCCTGGATCTTTCCTTCACCAGTATGGAGTTGAGGGGGAGAGATGTGAAATAGTTTTCCCAGCTACAGGCAGTAGTCATCTGTGTATCTATAATTTGAACTTGAAACTAGACTAGTAACTGTCACCTTGGCCATTATCCCTGACAAGGTGGATTCATAGCTGTAGCAGGAATCTTAAAAGTTCTTATTAATAAAATCAAACCCGAGGCGAGTTATTGGGGTCCATGCTGGTAGATCAGAGAGACAGAACAAGCCACAGCTATCTCACCTTGCCAGTTCCTCAGCTGGTCCTGTTTCCTCAGACTGGAAGCCTCTGTGTCCTCATCCCAATGAATCTCAGCTGAACTGTGTTGCTCCAAAGCCTGAAAGCTTAACCAGCCGAATGCTTAACCAGCCAAATCCTCTAGTTTCTGGTCCTCACGCCTTATATGTCTTTCTGCCTTCTACCACCACTCCCTGGGATTAAAGGCTGGCTTTCTGGGATTAAAGGTGTGTGTCACCATGCTTGGCTATTTCCACTGTGGCCTTGAACTCACAGAGATCCAGAGGGATTTCTATCTCTGGAATGCTAGGATTAAAGGTGTGAGTGCCACCATTTTCTAGCCTTTGTATCTAGTG